TGAACCCAGAGGCTTGACAGGAGAGGTGGAGGGACTCCCCAGGCTTTTTCACATCTCCTCCAGACTCCACCAGCTGGACCTCTGATTGGACACCTAGAAAGAAAGGCATCTTAAGAAGTTGTTGCATGTCAACAACACCCAGAATGAACCAAACTTCGATAACTGGTATGAGGAATTTACCTCCTAAAGCTGCTGAAAAGAAAACAAGCTGAAGCAAAGCTATCATTTTTGCCTGCCTGATGCTTTGAGAGATTTGACCAAAATGTGGTCCCTAGTATACAGCGGTAGGGAGCGTGTTTGACTGCTTTAAAGAGGAAGCTCTCTCTGAAATTTACATAAAAGCACCAACAAAGACATTCAACAATGCCTGACTGGAAGCAAATGGTGACCCGGCAGAAATATACTTATTTGCCATTGCACAATTTGCATAGCTCTTAACCTTGATGGGCTTATGTATCCCCCTCATGCACACAGGCTCCATGATTTCAAAGATGGAAACCATCAAATATATAAATAATGGGGGCAGGGGTAATGGGTTTGAAGTATGTGCCTGAAAGTACATTTCATTTAAAATTACTTTGAAATTGGTCAAAGAAGTTGATCAAGGGGAAACATTAAACTTAGATCCATTCAATCTCTATTGTTGTTGTTCTATAATATCTTGCCCAAACCAGAGAATACAGCTAGTTTGCGCTGGTGAATGTTGTGAAACATTTTAAATATAATAATAATAATAATAATAATAATAATAATAATAATAATATCTTTATTGTCATTAGTTTTGCATGGCCTAATTTTTGTTTCTTAAAAAAAGTTTCTTATTGCTTCTCTAAATAAAGATTAGAGACGCGGGTGATACTGCGGCCTAAACCACTGAGCTTTGGACTTGCCGATCAAAAGGTTGGTGGTTCGAATCCCCGCAATGGGGTAAGCTTCCGTTGCTCGGTCCCAGCTCCTGCCAACCTAGCAGTTCAAAAGCACGCCAAAAAGTGCAAGTAGATTAATAGGTACAGTTCTCTCCCCCCCCCCGACTCAACCATCTGAATTTATGATTCAGCACCTGGAAATAAAGGCATTTTAAGACGCTTGTCCATACTTCTGCTAGTGTTGTGCCTAGAAAACACAAGTCTGAGCGGTTTCCCCCTCTTTAGTGTTATACAAGAAGAAATTGCAATTTGGAGGAACCACAAATGGCTGTTTGCTCCAATGGAGCACTAAAGAACAGTTTGCCGGGGGAAGGGGGCAGTTATCAGCAAGACAATGGGTAAGGCCTCAAGATGAAGCTGTTTTCTTTAATTGAAAAGATGTATTTACCTCCAAATGCTGTTGAAAAGAAGACAAGCTGAAGCAAAAGTATCATTTCCCCTCTTGAATTATTTGAGATGGTTTAGTGAAAAGTGGTCCCAGGAATTCAGGGTTTTGTAACTGGGGCAGGGTTAGCGCCTAACTGACATGGAGGAAGCAGCTCTTTGGTGGCTTATTGCCACATATATATTTTTAATAAATAGTATGCTTATTTACTAAAGTACACTATAAAAGAGAAACACAGGGACCTTCAAATTAAATATCCTTTTACGGGGGAGTATAGTGAGAAGGTGAACATATCTGCTTTTCTCAGGGCATGTCAACTCTGGTGAGACTTGGCAAATTAATATGAATATAATGTGTGTCTTGGCAAATACAATTACCTACATGAATCAGGAAATTTACTTGCATCAAGAAGAGAAGAAGAGTTTGGATTGGATATCCCGCTTATCACTACCCGAAGGAGTCTCAAAGCGGCTAACATTCTCCTTTCCCTTCCTCCCCCACAACAAACACTCTGTGAGGGGAGTGGGGCTGAGAGACTTCAAAGAAGTGTGCCTAGCCCAAGGTCACCCAGCAGCTGCATGTGGAGGAGCGGAGACGCAAACCCGGTTCACCAGATTACGAGTCTACCGCTCTTAACCACTACACCATGTTTGCTCTCCATCATTATCAAGTGTTGGCAAGCAGTCCCTTTTTAGTCTTGACAAAAACAAGCAAAATAAAGGCATCAGTAGAGGAGATCTGAATATTGTCTGACTGGACCACACCTCCTTCCATTGGCATTTTCTGTTCTTGACACCATCGTTTCCCTCTTGTGGGGAACAGGAAGAGGTGGAATATAATTCCAGGAGTCTTGGTTTCTGACAAGATGCTTAATTTGCAAAATGACATTTGACATAGATTTGTGGGTATACCGTCTAGTGACATGGGGAAGAGCAAAGCAGCACCGAACATGTAGTTGCACCTAATACAATTTCAAGTATTAGAGATTGATTTTTAAAATTATTATTCTTTCAGTTAATTCTTCTCTTAACATACCACAGAATATACCATTGCTGAACAGAGCTGCCAAACCATATGTTTTCCATATCTGATTATTTTCCTCACCACAATGGAGAGGTAGGTGTTGGGGAATAAGTGTTATGTATGCACATGAACACAATTCCCATGGAATTTATAATATTTATTTCCAGCATTTTATTTTAGCTTTTCCCTCGAATTCAATACATTATATCATCCTCCTCATATATTCCCTGTAACACCCCAGTAAGGTAGGTCAGACTGAGAGGCTGTGACTGACCCAAGGTCATCTAGTGAGCTTCATGGACAAGTAGGGATTTGAACCCAGGTATCCCAGGTCCTATGTGCTACAGAAGAGGTTTCAGCCCATGCCAAGAGATGGTGGGATGATGAAGAAATACACCAATTCACAATTTTGTAAAAAGTCTACATTTCTCATTGAGGTCTATCGCCAGCAGCCGTAAGCATAACTCAGAGCTATGAGCAGACAAAACACAAATAATCATCTATTTGCAAAACTGGGTATTGATTTTAGATGGTAGGAAAAAAATGCTGCAGCAAAGTCATTTTATACAGTGCTGTACTGATCCACATTAGTCTATTTCCATTGTGTGTCACTTCTGCAGGTTTCCATCAGTATAACCATTTCTGGATTAAGTTACAGATTGAAGAGGAAGGCAGTCTGGATGTTGTTCCGCATCACCTGTGGAATGTAGAATTGCTCTGTCACTGTTTTCACAGTGTATTTGTTTACAGAAGCAGGACTTCTACTTTTTGAACAGAGCCCAATAGGCTTTGTCTCACTGTGTCTTCTCGGGCACAGAAATACACAGCGGAGTCTGCAGCTGTCAGGGAGTTCAGCTGGAGGGAGAACTCATTCTTTGAGGCATCTGAAGAAATGCTTGCTCGGCTCTTCAGAGAAGGGGCATATGCTGTGTCTCCATCATAGGGGTATATCCCTGCAATCCATTCCAGACTTTTCCCAGGTGATTGACGGATCCAATGTCACAAATAGTACTCAGTAGAGATGGAGAAACCTGTGACTTTACAAAGCAGGTTGAGATTCTCTCCTGGTCTCACTATTCCTGCCCCAGATGATACAAGCTGAATGTCTGAGGAGACCCCTTGGAAAGAGAAAAGAGAGCAATGAATGATTGGACGTCATCTAATTACTACATGAAGTAAATTAGCATTGCAGAACTTCCCTTACCTTTAGAAAACACCACCAAAGAAAACAAGAGCAACAAGAGCTCCATAATGTTGATGAATGAATGTGCTAGAGATACAGGAAAGAGGGGACTCTGGGCTGGGAAGCAAGTGAAGATTTTATATTCAGGGCTTTTCATCCGAAACCACTCCTAACTTCCTGGTGGTATTTACATGAGACCTCCCCAGTGAGGCACATGAGGCAAATAAAAGCAGTTTGGGGATCAAGGTTTGCTGCTGGCTTCCTCTTTGTCCCATGCACACACAAACACACACAGACAAATGCACACAGAGAGGAGTTCTAATGGAGGGGGCAAAAACGGAATGTAAAATTCAATCGAAGACGTTTGTGTTGGAGGAAGTTTTGGAAGAAGTTAATATACTGGGTATGATTTTTTCTTTCTTTTATGCTTTAAAACTGCTGGTTGTGGTGTATCAGTCTATAGACTGGCATTATTATTATTATTATTATTATTATTATTATTATTATTATTTTCTTCCTCCCTTCATTCATCCCTGGAATGCCCACCACACTCCCAAATGCAACACCTTTATTATTTTTCTCCCATCATGAAATCACATCAAGAGTCTTTTAAAAAAATGCTTCCTCAGCAAGGATGAAAGGCTTTGGGACTCCAATGCCTTTCATCCTAGGGGTAGCCATTTTGAAGTTCGAGAGATGATGATGATGATGGTGATGATGATGATGATTTTATTATAGTTATATATCACTTTCCATCATAAAACCTCAGGATGGTTCACAAGATCAAAATACAACTTAAAATAAAAAATAAATAGTTAAAACATTAAGTACGTCAGAGGTCTTGACTGGTCACAGTGGCTGTGGAGGAGACTTTGGCCTCACTGTGAAATGTTCAAATGAAGTGGAAGAAAATTTAGGTTAAGTATGAAGAAACACTGTAGATCACAGCTCACCAAAGAAATGAAATGTTTTTGGAATACCCTCTCTTAAAGGATTTAAATAAATAAAAAACAACAACACAAAAAGCATATGTATAAGAATCCTATGTTAATGTAGAGCATATGACACAACATTCTCATAACTCCTTGTTCTTCCTCTTCTCAAAGCACGGGGAATCCTGTCTTTCTAATAGGCAAATGAGAAATATAAAAGCTGTGTTTACATGGGGGGTGTCACTAAACATGCTGGTCATGACTGCATATATATGCATGTTAAGAAACATTTCCTATTTACGTGTAAAGGCATCCCCTTTGGTCTTCTTTGAGCAGTAAAAGACCCTAACTTAAAATAACAACAACAACATCAACAACAACAATATAATGAACAGTGAGCATCCTGTGTGTTATATAATTCATGTAAAACAGGGATAGAAGCAAGAATCAAACCACAAGATGCTGCTTGAAGCCATGGAAAAACCTGACCTTAAATATGTCTTTGGCCTCAGAGACTTAAATAACAAACAGGTGGGGGACTGCTGGCATGCTCACGGGGACAAATATCTCAGAGAGCGTCTGTGGGCATTGGTGGGTTTTTGCTTGGCTGCGGAGTCACTTCCTCTCACTGTGTCTCTTGCACAGTAATACACAGCCGTGTCCTCTGGTTTCAGGTTGTTCATTTGCAGATAGAGGAGGCTGTTGGAATTGTCCCTGGAGATGGTGAACCGTCCCTTGACTTTATCCGAGTAGCGTTTGGCAGATGAATCTCTATTTATGTCTCCCACCCATTCCAGGCCCTTTCCAGGAGCCTGCCTCACCCATGTCATGTAGTAGCTGCTGAAGGTGAAGCCAGAGGCTTGACAGGAGAGGTGGAGGGACTCCCCAGGTCTCTTGACATCCCCTCCAGACTCAACCAGCAGGACTCCAGCCTGGGCACCTAAAAAGAACGGCATTTTAGCATAATTGCTGCATGTTATTACACTCAGAGTGTCCCATGCTTTTTGATTTGAGAATGGATGAATTTACCTCTAAGAGCTGCAGAAAATAAAACAAGTTGTAGCAAAAGTATCATTTTCCTTATCTAATGCTAGAGAACCGAGTGAAATTGGCCTCAGGTATTCAGGGTCCCTGGTGCAGGGAGGGGGGGTCTGACCATCCTAAATATGTGTCTCTCTCTGAAAATTTGCATACCCAGCAGGAGAAAAGCAGCAACAGAGACTTCAGGTAGTCTTTGACTGTAGGCATATCTAGTCTTTGAAAAATTCCGCTTTCTTGTTAACGTACAACTTCCGTACTTCTTAACAAGGGTGGAAATATATATCTTTTTAAGGATAAAATGAATACACAAACATTTGAGGGGGGGCAAGAGTCCCCTTGAACATGCCATGTACTCCCGGTGAACAATTTCTTGACATTGTTGCTGGGAGGAATTGTGCCGGAATGGCACGTTCAAGTGAAGCAGCAGAAGGGAAAGCTTAGGTTAACCATTAAGCAAAAATATTCTTTATAAATTTTTTTTTATAGGTATCCTGACTTGAAGTAAAGAATCAGAGCAAAAGACAAGGCCCTCTCATGGTCCCTTGTTTCTGGCCTGCTCATGGTTACCTGTTTACACACAGAGCCATTCCCTGTGAAGCACAGCTCCCAGCCCCACTTCAGCTGAAATTAGACTTCAATAAATAAACACTTTAGCCAACAGAATAGTTGGCTGTGGTGTATGCAGTTGGTGATCTTTCAGCAATGGTTTTCACCATGGGGTCTATCGATATACAGCTTATATATGGGTACACTGTCTTAAGGTAGAATATTGGAGAAAATGACAAGGCATTCTCTTTTATGGAAAAACCACTTAAAAGTTGGAACAGAATATTTGAGATTTATAAAATAAGATTGGAAGTAAGGTAACAAATTGCTGCACATAACTATATGATTGAGAACGCAGGGAAGGGAGATGCGAGGAAGTCTAAAGATCATGAAAATATGATTTAATGAAATAATTTTACTTTATTCTTATTTTCCTTTTTTCTTTTATTCTTTCTACTTTATAATTTTACTTTTGTGTTTGTTATATGGTGATGGTATTTTATATGTTTGATGGTTTGTTTGTTGTTTAAAAATTGAAATAAACATTTTATATATATATAAAAAAAGACAAGGCATTCTCATAGAATCTTGTTGCTGCCCTTCTCATGCTTGAAATAGGAAATAGGAAAGCTGTGTTTACATCAGAGGGTGGCAATGTGGCAACCTTCCTTACTTTCCATATATTCCACTTCCCCCGTTGAAATTAGGCATGAAGGTAGCACTTGATTGTAGCCAAGATAATAGTTTGTGGTGTGTGGTTGACTGGTGTTTCTGTGTGCTGCCCATGAGATATTTTTTTCTGGGTGGCACATATGTCCATGGGTCCAGAATAGTTGATGACGTCTGGTCTACATGAACCAGATGCTTCATTCACATAAATAGCAAACAGAAGTATTTTCATCCCCAAAGGTAAAACTGGGGGCAAACTGTATGCTTTTCAATTAGAACAATCTCCATCGGTCACACAAGAAAATGTCATATGCCATGCCCATGGGTCAGTCGCCATTTATGTTTCTTTTGATGTCTTCAGGCTAAAGTGCACCCAGAATCAGACACTAGTGGATTAGGCCATGAATTCCCCCTTCATGAACTGCTACCCATGGGCTGGCGACATAAGAGAAGATTTGAGAAAGTCTCCCAGGGAGTCAAATCTCAAGGGGCTCCAAAAATGTGGCTTCACAAGAAATGTCTGAGGAAATGATTAGCCTCTCAGATGAAACCACCAACTGTACTTAAAGCACCAATTTAATTTGGTCATGGCCAATGGAATTTTCTGTTCTTCGCACCATGGACTGCCCCCTTGGGGAGACGAGGAGGAGGAGGTTGTGGTGGTAGGGAGTTCTGAGGTCTTGTATTGTGACAAGATGGCTAATATGTGAGAGAGATTTATGAATTTTCCTTCAAGTGATGCCAGAAGTTGTGTTGTGGGATGCCAGACGTTGTCAGGGATTCTTGCATTTAGCAAAACAAGTGGTATTTTACCAATCCCAGGTGTTATCTTACCAATCTTAAGCAAGAGAGGGCACTTGTATTTGTTTGGTGTCAAACTCATGCCTGACAATTATGTTGCACACCATCCCAATCTCCAAGCAGCAAAATATCCAGGAGTCAGAGGTGGATTCAAGGGAACATGACAAGTCTGGCTGCACTTGACATGGAATCTTGGGGTGCCATAACTATGACTTAGTATGAGGCATGAGAGGTGGGGGTTTCAGATTTTGGCATTGCACAGGGTGCTGCTGAAATTTAAGATTCCAAGGTTCATCACTGCAGGGTTTCCAGCCCTAGGTGTAGATGAACCAGACAGTAGAGTCACACTTTAAAATATGAAGTATTTTTCGCCGGCTCAAATATCACTATAGGCATTTAGGTTGAACTAGGCACACATCCTACTGCAAATGTCCTGTTTCCACATTATGGTTCCTTGTGTATTTCATAATCACTATCTATGACAGTTTTATTTTAATGCCTCCAATCTATAGGACACCTAGATTAGGAGAGAAGTCAGTTGTGTCATGGATTCCTCCTCCATGAAATATTACTCATGGGCTGAAGAGATAGGGAGATGTCTCTCAAGGCATCAGGGTCTCAAGGGGCCCATACAAAGTTGGTTCACATGGAAATGTCTGAGGAAAATATGAGGAAATGATTACAGATGAAATCACCAGTGATACTTCAAGCACCATTTTATGTTAGTTGTGGTTGATGGCATTTTCAGTTCTTTGCACCATGACTCTCCCTTTGTGTGTTCCTTGTGATGTGCACAGAAAAGTATGTCTGAATTATCTGAATACTTTTATTCAAATTCTTGATTCTGAATCAATTCAGAGGGCAGCTGCTGGCAAAGGAAGGTTTTTGCCTGGGTTCAGATTCACTTCCTCTCACTGTGTATCTCTGCTCCACAGTAATACACAGCCGTGTCCTCAGGTTTAAGGCTGCTCATTTGTAGATAGAGGAGGCTGTTGGAATTATCCCTGGAGATGGTGAATCGTCCCTTCACTTTATCTAAGTAGCGAATGTCAGATGAACCTGCATTTATACTTGCAACCCATTCCAGGCCCTTTCCCTGAGCCTGTCTTCCCCAGTGCATCCATTTGCTGCTGAAGGTGAACCCAGAGGCTCGGCAGGAGAGGCGGAGGGACTCCCCAGGCCTTTTCACATCCCCTCCAGACTCTACCAGCTGGACTTCTGACTGGACACCTAGAAAGAAAGGCATTTTAAGAGACCTGTTGTATGTCTTTAACACCCTTATTGTACTAGCTTTCTTCAACAGAAAGGATGGATTTACCTCCAAAGGCTGCTGAAAAGAAAACAAGTTGAAGCAAAGCTATCATTTTCCCTGTGTGAAATGTTGTCCCAAGCATGCAGGCAAAGGGAGGGTGTCTGACTGCTTTAAAGAGGAAGTTTTCTCTGAAGATTTACATACCCATTAGGATAAAAGGACTGGCAGAAACATTTGGCAATGTAGAACTGGAGGTGTGTCTGCTCTTTGCAAAAATATCCTTCTTTGCTACCATACAATGCACACAGCTCTTTACAGTGGTGGATTTATGTATCCGTATGAGGTTAGAAGAGCAACACAGGCTTCTGCTTTGAACATGTCCAGTGCCCTTATTAAGGATGGCTGTGAATGGCTCATTAACATTAATTGAAATATCAAATGAGTTTTCAGAAAGTTTAGATTGGAAATAAAAAAGTAGATAAGATCTCAGGATAGAGAGAAAAATGTCCAGTGGCATCTCGTAAAGGTTTTAAATGAAAAGGTAGAAAATATAATTTATCCTGCCTTAAGAACAAGTAATAGAGCACCAGGCAAGGCATGCTCATAGTTCCTTCTTTCTGCCTTTCTCAAAGCAACAAGAGTTCTTTATAATGTGTCCTTTGCAATGTGTGAATGAGGAAATATGAATTATATAATGCACCCAGGGTTGCTAACATGCTGCCCATAGGTGCCCATGCATCTGCAGAAAGCTTCCCTGATTCTCCTTCCCCAAGAAATTAGCCTTTATATAAGCTCAGTCTATATAACAGGTTGTGGTGTGTGATGGGTTGCTTGTGATGTTTGTGCATAGTGCCCATGACAGATTTTCCTGATATCCATAAGGGCCCATGAGTTGTTGGTGGCCCTTGGCCTTCATGAAGTAGACACTTGAGTCACAAATAAAACCCCAAAATGGGAAGTATCTTTCTCAATGCAAACAATCTCTATTGGTATATCCAAAAGTAGAACTAAGCACAAATTGTTTGGCTTAAATCCTGTTTACACATGTACGCGATTTACATAAGAAAATATCACATGCTCATGCCCTTGGAATTGTTCCCCATGAGCTGATGACACACAGAGAATTGTGAGAAGAAGAGCAGTCTCACAGGAACAGAATTTGCACCTGACTGAGGTGTGTATTCCTGTTAACTTGCATAGATAGAGCCCTCAGCTCTTTTGATGAATGACTCTCCCTGTGTGGGTGGAAATGTTTGTAACACATGCATTTCTGAATCCTGATAAATGTCCAGCCCACAAGAGAACCCCCACATACTCTTTTATGAGAAGCAGAACTCTGTGCTTGGAGACAAATGTGTGTTGCTCTAAAGGTTTCCATATTCCAACCTGTGTATGTAATGAAGTACTTCTGTTCCTACAGTTAATGAAAGAGTAGCTTATGGGGGGGGGGGAATAGATGCACTACATAGAAATCATGCAATCTCAACAGAGGCATGTGCACACATGTGGACAGTGATTTAGACCCAATATGTTCAATTAAACATAAAAAGACCCTAATATTTTAGAGAAATGTAGAGTGTGAGCATGATTGTTACATAACCCATGGAAAACAGTGATAGAAACCAGAATTAAACCCTATGTAGGAAG